AAAACATGGGGACAGTTGTAAAATAGTATTTATTTGTAGAATTTATGTAGAATTTCATGTTTTGTGAATGATAACAACTTAAACTTGTTATTGATTGAGTTTTTTTTCTCTAAATAACAGTTTTTAGCATAAAAAAACTATGAAAGCCGTAGGTCCAATTTGGCTGAGGACAAGGACAAGGACAGGATTTGTAATTTTCAAAAGTGTTTTGAATAAATTAAAAAATATCTGAGAACCTAATGAATGACATATTCCTTTACAGAACAACTCACAGAAATCAACCATCAGTCAGTTTTAGACATTTTTTGGATGTAATACTTTTTAATTCACTGTAACAAGTCAAGGACAGATAATGTACATTTCTAGTAGAATGTCCCATTGAGGGGGAAGTTTTATGGTTATTCTGATGCTACATTTATTCGTTCAGCAGACACTTCAATAAAGCGACTTATAAATGAGGAACATACTGAGTTTATGTAACTCAAATCCATCTGTCTGAAGCTTCCTTTGTTATGTAAGTGGCAATTGATTACTGTGGGTCATGCGTGTTTCTCACTATAGGCCACCTAACCTAATGCATATTCAAACTATTGGACAAAATGCTTTGTTTTATTATCCAGATGAGCAAAACTACACAAGGGTTTTGTGTTCAGAGTCTGGTTATGGAAAGACTTTCATGATTTGACCCCAAACTAACTGAACACGCATATGATGCTCAAAAAAATGAAGACAAGGGCCTCTGCAGGTTGACGATTTCACTTGTTGTTCTAAAGTCAATGAAATAACATAAATGAATGTCTATTACTGTCTGACTGTCTGAAACATTAATAAAATACAGATTAAATATAAAATACAGGATAGTACACTAAAACAATCTCTTACCACCATCTTCTTCATCTTTAGAGGAAATGGTGTAGTGCAAAGGATCCAGGGATTTTCCAATTGGTCCTCACAGATCTTTCCACCAATAGCAGAGCCCTTTGGCCACGCCCCCATTTTCCACTCCACCAATAATAGAAACCGTTCAACAGGCCTCATACTTTTCACCATAGCTATTGAACTGTTGCATGACATAGCTACACACACACACACGTTTAAACAGCATTTTGCTAATTATTTTATAAATGTTATGCATGCAGCTATTAGCTCACATTAAACGAATAGTTCACCCAAAAATGAAAATGTACTTATCCATAGGCCATCCAAGATGTAGATGAATTTATTTCTTCATCCGATTTGGAGAAATCTGTCATTTCATCACTTGCTCACCAATGGATGTTCTGCAGTGAATGGGTGCCGTCAGAATGAGAGTCCAAACAGCTGATGAAAACATCACAATAATCCACAAGTAATCCACACCACTCCAGTCCATCAGTTAATGTCTTGTGAAGAGAAAAGCTGCATGTTTGTAAGAAAAATCATGATGGCGTTTTAAATATAAAGCATCACATTTGAGTCCATAAAAATGCTTCCTCCAGTGAAAAAGTTCATCTCCTGTTGTCCCTCACATCAAAATGTATTGGACTGTTTTGGCTTGTAAACTGTGCTTAATCTGTGCATATTTCTCTCCTGATTCAGACGAGATGACATTTTCACTGGAGAAAGCAATATTATGGATTATTAGCCGGAAGAAATGGCTTGAAGTTAAAAAAGTCTTGATGGATTTGTTTCTTATAAACACGCAGCTTTTCTCTTCACAAGACATTAACTGATGGACTGGAGTGGTGTGGATTACTTGTGGATTATTGTGATGTTTTTATCAGCTTGTTGGACTCTCATTCTGACGGCACCCATTCACTGCAGAGGATCCAATGCTGAGCAAGTCATGTAACATTTCTCAAAATCTGATGAAGAAACAAACCCATCTGCATCTTCCAATATTTGGACTTGAGAGTGTCAACATTGGACAAGCAGGAATGGAAGGATTATGCCATCATATTAGTTTTCACATTAATTATGTGGACCATTCGAAATGCAATCCTTATGTGATGAAATATGATTACTTGTTTGGCTGGCCTCATCTTATTATTGCTGTCATTAGCATCTCTTCTTCTGTATGGCTTCTCTTTCTTTCTTCTCTCACACACATAAATTGCTTTTTGTGCTTCATTGTGGTATGTTTGGTATCTACTGATGACCACCAGGATGCATGCTCATGGGTTATTAAAATAAAGAGCAGAGCGATCAATATTCAGCACTCCAGAAAGCCAACAATTACATTGGAAAGCTCTTACAGAAACCATTTAGGAAACCGGTGTAATAACTCTCTTATTACACTGCGGCTAATGACAACATCCCACTTATGCAGAATGGGATTTTAGCAGCTTTCACAAGAATTTTTCAAATACAGTCCAACCCCTAAACTGTAAAAAAAAAACATCTGGTAGCAACATTTCAGGCATCATCAATCAGCATAACCAGAATAATGGGAATTTGCTGCTTGTATACAGTATTTTACAGGTCATAATTCTTTATATTTAATCTTATAATTATATAAATCATGCATAAGTATGAACAACTTTCCACCACAGAATAAAAAAAATAATAATAAAAAGGTAATTGCGAGTTCTTCTCTCACAATTTAGACGTTTTCCTCACAATTTTCAGAAAACAAGTCAGAATTGTGAGATATAAAGTAAGTCTGGAGTTATAGCCGGTCAATGGTGGATCTTTGGGGGGCGATTGTAGCATTGTGTAGGACATCAGCCCTGTGATTGACAATGAAATCTTTTGTATCGGCTGCAGGGCGTAATTTTGAACTGGTTTGGGAAAACAAATCGTGTCATATGTGTCACGTGTCTGTCTGTCAAAGGGAGGAAGCCACGCCCTGTTTTGGAGTTCCCACCCCCATTTGAAGATTTTGTACCTCAATTAGCCAACCCCAAAGGGTAATCAGTGCTTATGTAGCTCACCATGACCAAACAATAATCAAAATCATTACGATAACACAAGCTGAATAGAACAATTTAACATTTTGCAATGCTTTCATGCTCTTGGCTCTTGTTTTGTGCATGAGGGCATGTCATTTTTCCAGTTAAACTGTTCATGATTATACGATTAGCTGCATTTTATTATTTGCATTCAGTATTGCTTTTCCCTGACGTCCATTTTTGGGATTTAGTTGTTTAATCATGACAGTGGACTTCATACTGACACCTACTGGTGTGGAGAATCACAGAAACTCACCCATGATCAATTGATTCTGCATTCAAAAATTCTGTTTGGGAATCTGTAGATTTGGGCTGGTCATATGATCTCAACATGCTGGACCCCATGACAGGGAAGCACCTCATGCAAAATAACAGCATAAAAATATCCTGCGTCACGCTCACAGGGTGGATCTCTCACGCTCAATGCTGATGTTTGCACTGGCATTTCCAGTTCATCTGGTTTTCAGAAAGACATCTCTGACCAAAACAAAAGACTATAAAAGACGACGCCTCTGATTGTCACTGACCAAACAAGAACTTCGTTTTATAAATTAAACTTATGTGTCCCATTCACAATAACCACAGCATCATTTCAATACAAGTGTTCACGTTCAGCATCAACATTTTTGGTGCGTATTGGTTATACTGGTTATAATGACAACAGCTTTTTGTAAACCTCTATATAAAGGCAAAAGACTGTGGAAAAGGAAAGACATCAATCATAAATCAATCATTTGTTTTCAGTACAGTGCAATAATCACAGTGCATTTCAGAGGTTCACCTGAGGTTTTCCAATGTTTTCCATAAAGTGCATGACAGGATCTTCCAAAAAGAAGCAGGAACTATACATGATACTAAAAAATAAATCTTTCACAACCATGAAGTGATGAAAAATGGCGAAACTGGGAATCTTATTGAAGTAGCTGCATTTTTGGGGTTGAATTGTCCAATTCTTTGCTGTTAAAAGTCATTGACAGGATTTATCTTATGTCACCCCACTTTCATTCTCATTCTGGAAGCATCTTGAGATGGTAATCACTGTTAAAGTTTAAATTCCCAAGACAATGGTGATCCAACAATTGACTCCGCAGTAGGCCTTCAAGTGACACGTCATTCATCCTTTGTTTTAGTCACTCAGTGACTCCCGGAGTCCTTTCGCCTTCCTGAAGTTCATTTGTTCGACTTCTCCAGTCCATATTTCTCCTCCAATCCATGCTCACTTGGGTAGGAGTTCGCGGTATGGCACCGTCAGGTTCCCCAGATACCAAAAGATCCAAAACACCAGGCTAAGGAAGATGATGATTGGTCCAGTCAGGACAAACAAGTCCCAAAAACTGATGGGTGCAAAAATGCCAACGAAGAGGAGAACTAGTCCAGCTACGTCGAACAGAACGGCCAAGAAGAGAAAGAGGAAGCAGTGTCCCACTCTTTCCTTGCAGCCCATCTTGGAGAAGCTCAAGTAAGGAGAACCGACGGATGTACGGCAGGCTGATGGGCCTGAAGAACGAATGACAGGAACTTTCCCTCCACAAGACTTTTATAAAGCAGCTCGCCCACATTCTTACGCAGTGCATTTCTTCGACGTCAGGTATGCAACCACCAAAACAAGTTCAACTGCCTGGCGAACGCCTACTGAAAAGGCCAAGACTTATTTTTATGCATATTATTCCTCAGACCGTTCTCATCACCATGACGGTGCATCTGCTAGATAAACAATTGTGAACAGATTCAGATATTTCCACAGACAGAGAAAAGCCTTCGTCAAAGCACCGGCGCAGATGCCGCATTACAAGTTGTGCCGAGTTGTTTTCTCAGTTACGTAATACTCAAATAACCGGTATGAGTCACAGAAAGACTTTTCACATTTCAGGAAGCCACACAAATTGAGGCATTATTCAATTTGACGATTAAACCCCAACACTCAAAGCCGGTTAGGCATTAGATCAAATCACTAACCGTAAGGATGTAGCAATAGTGACTAAGCAAACACCACATGAACTAAAAACAAATAGAGTCATATGGGTGAAATGTGATTTAATTGTTTACACAAACTTGGGCTTTAAGTTTACATGCATTTCATATTGCATCGGTTAAAACGACAACTACAGTATTGCGAGTGAAAGAGGGAGTATGCACGGTCAGGATTTGCTTGGCATGTCAAGATTATGTGTTTTACATTTACATAAATCATGCAATTTTTTCATATACAGTTATGTTCACATAACTCGCTCACTACTATAATATTTAAAAAAATATACTCGAAAAAAAATGTTTTTTTTTTTTGCCGTATTGGTGCAGTATTAAATGTTTGTGTGCCAAGATGAACCAACAGGTCCCTTGAATGAATTTTCAGTCCATTGTATTTGCTGTCGGACTGGTTTGGTCACTGATGACACTAGCATCGAGTGTAGATCGACTAACAAATGAAATGGCTTGAGGAGTTTGCATGAGCGCTCAGCTGCCACTTTGAAAGGGAAATGGATTCCTACCATGCATGAGCTGATGCATGAATTTACAAATGAGGATGTGCAAAAACAAGGGCTGTACCTGAGCAGCATTTTACAACACAGAATATCATCAATAACAAAAACACAACACAAGTGGACGTTACAACACACACTGAATGGCTATATATCAGACAATATTTGGCCATTTTAGGATTATCAACATTTGGCTGATGTAACCTCCACTTCTAGAGGTAATTTGCCAACAGTTTTGCCAAAGCATTATAAATTCTTCTAATGAATTTTGAGTAAATATTGTGCAAAGTAAGAGTTCGCTTCATTTCACCAATTTGGTGTCCATTAAAAGTATTCTAGCATTATATCAGCCACCCTGCTTTATAGATATCAGGCCAATGAGAATCTTCAACCCCCCATACAGAAACACAACAGACAGCTGTGTTTTACTATATTAAAGCATATATAGTATCATTTGAGTTGTACGCAGTATCTCTAGATGTACTGCTGATGGCAAATGTTTGAAGACTATTGAAGGTTCTCGGTTATTCAGTCATTGCTTAAGGACCTAGAAAAAAGAAAACAAGCTTCTTAAACTTTGGTAAGTAAGAGAAGTTTCCAATTCATGAATGAATTAGTGAGTTTGCTTCAATTTATACATTTATATGCACATCTAAAATGGATATTAAAGGTCAAGGATGATGTAGTTTAAATGAATGATAAAAATACTGCAAAAACTATTAATGATACATGCAAGGCTGTACATAACTATACAAGAAATAATACATTATGATATTATGTAAATAACCTAAAATGTAGGTTTAGATTTGCAGCTTTTCTTGGTCAACAATTACACACCAGCTAAAATAGAAACACACAGATGTTTGTTTATGAAAATGCCATGTGCATAGCATGAAACTGTGTAGAGTCACATACTGGGTGTTTATGATGTTGAATTTAACTTTACTCCAGTGGCTTTATTATTTGAGCAATTAGGGTTACTTTAACTCACCTCTTTTCACAGCAGAACATCAATGCTCTCTGGCTGATCCTCTGGCTTCTCCTCATGAGGTTTTTCACCGTCTTTGGTCGCGGCTGATTCTGATTCCTCGTACCCTTCGTTCTGGTAACAGGTGAACTGATCATCTCCAGGCTTTTTCTCCTGAGACGCTTCACTGCATTTGCTCACATCTGATTCAGAACCGTCTTCTGACCGGGTCTGGTCATCTGTCTCCTCCTGGATTGGTTTGCATGACTCCTCGTCCTCGTACCCTTGATTCTGGTAGCACATTAACTGATCATCATCTGATTTTTCTTTGGATAGTTCATCACATTTGATCATATCCGATTCGAGATCCTTGTGTCCTGGGAAATAGGTGGATTTTCCCCACGTTATGTTTCGAATGGTGGAAGCTTTGCTTCCTGTTTTCTCACCTGTGCAAAAATAATAGATAAGCTTCAACATATAGATCAATACACACATAAATACAAGAGTGGGCACAGACTGGTGATGGTTATTTCATCAGTAGGCCTATTTAATCTTAAATTTAATCATAAAAGGATTTTATAAAGAATAATGATTCATGAGACACTTTTTAAAATTAAAGGTTCTTCAGTGATTCTTTAAACGGAGATGGTGATGGGAAAAAATGAGATAGATAGGAGGAAAAATTATATTTCAATAGGCTACTTTTGCCGTTCCCTGAGAAACTAATTGTTCTCGGGGGAACGCAAAAGTTTTGCTAAAGAACCTAAAAGCGTTGACATAGCCTACAGGTTGATTTTACCTCCCACTTTACCTCGCCTCTTTTTATTATCAAGAACATTTTGGCTTAATATGATTTTTGACCTACACGGTTCTTTGAATTTTAAAAAGGTTCTTAATGGTTCATTATAGGATCTTCACGTCGGTGTTTTGGCCTCTGAGTTCTCGCCAGCATCAGTAAAACAATAAAGCGCTTCTCACCGGTGTTGTCCTTCAGGTGTGTTTTGGACATTCTCTCCGTGAGCTTCCTCGCGAGCTCTTTAACGCTGTGCGCGGCGCTCGATCTGCGCGCCAAACCTTCATCCTTCTCCCTGATGTTCCCCACGTACCACATGAGCCACAAGGCCAGGCTGGCGAACAAGACCAGCGCGCCGGTGTGGATGAGGAAATCCCCGTAAAACACGCCGTGCATCCGCACGTTACCGAATATCCCGACGAACAGCAGGACCACACCGAGGATGTCGAAGACGATCGCCATGACGAATAACGGCAGGCAGCTGCCGATGCACCTCAGCGCCGTCATCTTCGGGAGGAGGAGGAGGAGGATGCTGCTGCTCCTGTCGCTAGCGGAAGAACTGCCGAGCTCAGGTGAGACGCACCTGGCGCACAGGGAGGGAACGCCCTCGTGACGTCACGGTGGCTGCACGGCTGCTGGCGGTGGGACTGCGATCCAAATCAAATGCCTTCCTACATGGCCTATTTAATTAGTATGCATTATGTTCTAACCATGAAATATTTTTTCAAATAAGTTTTTACTATATGAAATAGCGTAAAGCATACAAATCAAAAGATTTTTGAAAAAAAGATTTTTTTGGGGGGTACTTCGAGAAACGTTGCTATATGGCAACGCTGTGGAAAACGGTCAAAAAAAGCAGTTTTTCTATAAAATTATGATTTTATTTTCTATTTAAATGCACATTTCTTTTAGAAATTGATAGTTTTATATTCTCGGAACTCATGCAAACCAATAATAAGTAGATCCCTGTCATTTAACCTTAACTGAAGGCTAACTCATCCTCACTCTCATCTCATGGGAGAGCTATAACTAACTCTGCACTCTTCCTATTGGCCTTTCCGTCAAATATTGCTGTATTCATTTTCTGAAAATAAGAAATAATTTTGTTGTTTATACATAAATACAACTATACTACAATAAACATTTCTGCCGAGCTCAGGTGAGACGCACCTGGCGCACAGGGAGGGAACGCCCTCGTGACGTCACGGTGGCTGCACGGCTGCTGGCGGTGGGACTGCGATCCAAATCAAATGCCCTACTATCTATAAAAAAAAACCCAGTGGGGAAATACGTTACTGCAATTACACTGTGCGACACTGTGTCACTCATATGCCATTGTGAAATTTTGTGGGGGAAAAAGGTACAATGTCGATTGTCATTAGTGTAGAAATGTATAAAACACAGATTAAAGAAGTCACTTTCAAACCGAGCAGCTTTCTATTTGGTCAAGTTAATTTGTGATTAACTTGAACAAGAGGGAAATCTGCGTGGGGAACTTTCCCGCCCTCATGCGAAACTCCCGATTGTTTGGATTCCTATTTGAATGACAGAAACATTTCTCAATCTTCTTTTGTGCTCCACAGACAAAAGAAAGTCATACAGGTTTGAAAGGACATGAGGGTGTTTAAATGATTCAGCACGCTGCCCCCGGAGGTCATGAGGAGGATGGCCTGCCAGTAGTACTCGCAGTTTCCCGGAGCGGGCTGCAGGGTCCAGAAGATCTTGTTGTGGGACAGGCTGAAGACCGTGCTCTCGGAGGAAGGTGTGAGCTGCTCGCAGGAATCTGAGCGCGGACAGTCGCTGAGGGGCAGGTGCTCTGGGACTGACGACATGTCTTCGGACATCCCGGACCCCTGCACCTCACGTGACCTCTGGTGAACACCCGGTCAGCCGAGCCTGTGGGAAATAATGAAGGGAGTTTTATCAATGAATTCAAGCATTCAGTTATACAAGCAAAAAAAATAATAAATAGCCTAAATGTAATAATTCATTATTATTAACACCGCAGTTCCTTTGAAAAAGTAGCCTAATATTGTAATATAAATAAACATTAACTGAAATAAAATATATATATATTTTTTTACTTATTTTATTTCAGATAATTGCCAAGGAAGCATTTCTCATTTTCATTTAGTTTAACCTGATATACTAAAATAACAAAAGGTAAAACAACAAAAATTATATTGACATATTAAACCTAAATGATAAACACACACACACACACACAATATATGTATACAAAAAGATTAAAAGGAAAACAGAAACTATAAAAATAAAAACTAATCAAACTATTAATAAAAACCATAGTATCTCAATAATACTAAAATAACATTGTTTCAGAAGTGGAGTAATTATTGCATTTTAATAAAAGCTCAGTTGTTTATTTTGAATAACATGCACTGATGGTTTCTTCAAAACACATCAAGGAATATGCTAATGATTTCCCCAAACGAACCATCTTTTTTCTGCTGCATTGTTATTATTTTATGAAGATAATGTGTATGGTGTGCACGTGTCACCATGATGTTAATGCGGTGAATGGTTTTTACTGCATTGCTAGACAGTTGTTAAGATATTCTGGGTGGTTTCTATGTTTTTTTCCTGTCTGTCATGAAGAGTCCCGCACCATCGCTCTGTCATCATCTAGTTTCTAGATGTGGCTCCTCCTTCATTGTGCATTTGTGGGAATTTTTCACCTGTTTTCTGGTCCAGCAGGTGAAAGTAGTGCATCCGATCAGTTACTAAAGTAACAGCACAAACTCTCCTCAACAAGACATGTCATTCATGTCAAGACCACAGATGTTTAGTTTAACAGAGACATTAATAACAGCTATGCTTTTCTTGGCAAACATCACTAACAAAGTCAAAACAGAAGACTATAAACAAACATTAGTTCATCGTATAAGTCATTAAATGCAAAATGGTTGATCTAATAGTCATAAACTGTCAAGCATATTTTCTACACATTTCTATTAGACTTTTTGTACATTTGCCATAAATTGTGCAGGTGAATCTTGACTTTCTCTAATAAAGAGAATGTAGATCAGCTAATGATAAACCAGTTCTCTGAAATAGCTCAAAGGTGCATCTCATGAACCTTTCCTTGGAAAGCATATATAGACAGAGGACAACACAAGAGTTACAAATTCTGACAATGGATATTTCCTCCCCTTTGGCCTGCAAATCAACAGTAGCTCTCTGGCCGATGACATTTCAACCACGCCTTCTGCTTTTGGTCAGGTTGAAGCCAGCCTCATCCACATATATGAAGTTGTGAGATGGTTCACTTGACTCCAATTCCACGTTGCATTGCAAGGGAAGATATTCGTTGTGATATAGATGAGAATCTGTGGCAGGCCAGGAGGTGTAGACAGACTGCAGTGCGATTCCTCAAACAGTGCTGCAGGCAAAAGCAAAGTTCTTCCTAGGGGGTGTTTCCTGTGTTTGCCTTTCTAATTAAAAAATTTTTTCCGCCTTTGTGCCCATATTTCTTTTCTATATCACAATGACGTAATGTTTTTTTTTTTGTCAGACCACTAGTAAAGTGTAACTGTGAATCCTGTCCAGTCTCTTTCAATCAATATCCCGCATACAGTAATATGTAAATTTGTACTTTTGAAATGGATATATGGCATACATAAGAAGTGCAGCCTTCTGCATTTCAATACAGTAACTGTCATCCAAACTGTTGCCATAGTTTACATCAGGTAATACTAACAGAGTGCAGTGTTATATTGACAACATGACTAAGCATTTTGACATCTTGTTTGTGAACAATGACTCAAGGACTTTTCATTCTGATGGCACTGATGTGTTCATTGACATAAATACTCACTTTTGAGAGATGAACTAAAGATTTTGAGTAATTTACAGGCTTTTGCAGGTAATCCATAGTGTGGTGCTGTTTGTACACATTGTTTTGAGAAATGCACATACTTCTTTGCAAAGTTTAAGGATGATTCGAGAAATGCACCAAAGCGACTGAGAAAAACTGTAATGTAATAAACAAAATAAGTCACCCGACATTACATGCACTGTTGTTGTTGGAAATCTCAGTAATACCGTAGTAAAATAACTGTTGAGTTTAGAGGGTTTACAGGACCACACCCTGATGAGCTACTGTACAGAAACATCACAAACAGCCCACATTGTGAATATTACAGTATATTGCAGAATATTATGAGGCAACAGTTCAATTAATAATTTCTGCATAATACAAAAAAAAAAAAA